TTGTATGGTTTTCCAAAACTTAACCATGCTACATGGACACCATTTCATATTTCTTCATCACTTATACCATGAAACAATTAATAATATTAGCAATGATTTTGTTATTCAATAAACTACTTGGGTCCACAAACAAATGGAAAGAATGTAATTTGGTATGTATTGAACGCAACTACAAAAACAAGATATTATTGATCAACAGTTTTTAGCATTGACTCATTTAATTTTAATTTAAGTTTCTATTATGAAGTTAACAAGAGCAAACATGAACATTTCAGCAATGTATGATAATGAACATACCTTACACTTTGACATTATATAATCATAGTCTATTATGTATGACATTTTTTGTTGTCATAAAACATAATGCTGATGTTACATGGACACAGTGTCCTATAGCATCAAGAGCCATCAGGTTTATTCTCACTGTTATAAGTCTACATAGTGTGAAATGCATCATGCAATTATTTATATTATAAGTAGGCATAGAAAAGACAATAATTCAAATTTGTTAAAATGCTATAACTGGAATTCATCCATCATCTTGTGTTGTAAAACAATAACCGATGCTACATGGACATATGGCAAGCCGTTTTATCATTTACCTCTGAATTGCAGTTAAGTCGAATGCATTACAGTTAACTGTAATTGAATTAGAGTTAACTGTAATACATTCGACTTAACTGCAATACATTACAGTTAAGTGTAATGCATTACAGTTAACTCTAATTCAATTACAGTTAACTCGAATTCAATTGCAGTTAGCTGCAATTAAAATTTTGTTTTTGAGTTAAGTGTAATTTATTTAAAGTTAACTGCAAATCTATTTCAATTATGTCTATTTCGGCTTAATTCGAAAACATTTGCAGTTAACTTGAATGCATTTCAAGTTAACTGCAAATCATTTCCAGTTAACTGTAATACAATTCAAGTTCAACTGCAATTCAGAGGTTGGTTGTAATTAGCGTTAAGTGAATACGATTGGTTGTTTGCGTTTACGTAATATCAGTGCTATATGATTGGTCAACCACAGTTGATTGAATTACAGTTATGGTGTATTTTCATTAAGTAACTGTGATTGGCTGATGTGCTTTTCCCGGTCGTACATCTTGCCCGGTAAAAAACAAATCATCAAAACGGTCGTTCAAATTTAATAAAAATGGCGTCTGATCACTCTGATGATGTACTTTCTACCGTTGGACAAACTGTTCGTAATGTTACTGCAGCATTAGAACAGGGAAACACTGATTATAATCAATTACAGAATAATTTAAGAACATGTATTCGTAATGTAAATAGGATTTCTGCGACGCTAGACCAACAGTCATTGGAGGAAGTGATACAATCAATACAAGATATGATTGACCATGTGGACGAACTGAGGAGGGTGGTAGAGGGCAATAGGAGGTAGGTCTAGGCCTAGGCCTACAGCGGCAGATGAACAATGAAAAACGCCGTTTCAACTACCACGTATACGCCCCCCTAAAGGTGAGATTTCATCTAGGCCTAGACCTAGGCCTGATTCTAGGTTAATAACAACATGCCCATGAGAGGTTATATGTAAAGGAGAGATTCTCACCAACCCTTACCCCCAAACCACCACTACAACAGCAATAAAAATCAAATGTACTGCAAATGCAAATAACTTAACAGGTATGCGGTTTTTGTTTTTTGTTTGCTATTTTAGGTTCTAAAGGAGGAAAACCAAAAATTCAAATTGATCCAGAACAGTTGAAATTTATGCGTGATGAAGGTTTCACAGCTAAGGATATGGCGGAGCAACTAGGATGTTCGCCGTCATTTGTATATAAGGAGCTATCTTCGCTAGGTCTGCATTTAAGATCCAAATACTCCACGATAACCGAACAAGAATTAGACATAGAGGTACAAGCCCTGCATGCAGATTTCCCAAATTCAGGCCATCAGGTTTGTACTCTGCCTTAAAAAATGTATTTAGTTTATTTCCGAGTGTGTGGTCCCTGAGTTTCCACTGCACTTTGTACAATATTGTAATAAATTTTGCTTATTCGCTTAAGTGTGGGAAGAGTCTAATTTACTAATTTTTTCGTTTAGATGATGAAAGCTTATTTGCATGCGGGTGGCAATGTCATCCAGAGATCACGGGTACGCAGTGCACTAAATCGTATTGACCCCCCCTGCAGTAGCCAAAAGATGGAGTAAGGCTGTCAAAAGGCGCACATACCAAGTGGCAACACCAAACAGTTTGTGGCATATGGATGGCCACATGAAACTTGCAAGGTAACAGTATTATCTGTGTTTACAAATATAGAGCCCAAATTTGTTTTTATGTTGGCCAAGCCAAAACCTTGAAAATCTAGGGTCGGCCCTTCTTTTTTCTTGCCATTTTTCCCAATTATTTTTTTTACTCTTATTAACAGTAAAACTTTTTTAAATTTAAAAAATAAATATTTTGGGCCTATTGTCAAACATGTCTTTTTGAGCTGTAAATTCTGATTGTGAACAAACATATTTTTGAAAATGTGACATCTATGGAATCAACATGTTTGCTGAAACTACTAAACTTGAGAGAACAAGAACCATTGACTGACCTAAAATGTGAAAAATGTGCTTGGGCAACATATGTTTAGGCTTTCTATTGGTTTACATTACACCTCTGGAAATAAATCCCTTATCCCCAATATCTACTTTATTATAGTTTGTCTTGTCCATTGTCATTTTAGCGTTGTTGCATGAAACGGTACATGATAATTGATAAATTGGAATACATAAATAAATAATAAATTTTAAAAAAACATAAAATATCCACACTATGTTGGTGAAAACACTTTACAAATGTTAGTTTGTGCCTGGTTCATACTGTGCAACTTGAGTGTTATTAGAATGACGAAATGCGTATGATTTCTGAAAGAAGAAAAATCCTGTATTGTAAATCAATTTACATTTTCCCCCCAGGTGGAAACTCGTCACACATGGCTGCATTGATGGCTACTCCTGTTGTATCACATTCCTAGATTGCGGAAATGACAATTCTTCCATAACAGTGCTAAGTCATTTTGTCCATGCTACAATTCAGTATGGATTACCATCACGAACAAGATCGGACCATGGTGGGGAAAATTTTTTGGTTGCTTTATTCATGGATCTTTTCAAGGTCCAAATAGAGTTAGCCATCTGACAGGCGAGTCCAAGCATAATCAAAGAATTGAGCGTCTTTGGAAAGATGTTTTTGAGCAAGTTATTTCGTACTTTTATGACTTATTTTATAATTTAGAAGACACGGATGAACTTGATCCTGGAAATCAAGTTCATATAACTGCCCTGCATCAAGTTTTCTTGGTGGAGATTAACAGACGCCTTCATCTTTTTCGTGAAGCCTGGAACAAGCATTTTGTAAGAACGGCGGGACATCAATTGCCACATCAACTATGGGTTTCCGGGATGCTGAAACATATTAATACTGATCACAGAGCCATTAACCATGTGTTTAATGGTGATGATATAAAATCTAATTTAATAAGAGGGCTAAGGCATTACGGGTTAGATTTAGATTTATTTGGCGATATGAATGACCAAGCCATTGATATTCCAGAAGCTGTACAGGTAAACCCACCTGTTATAGGTACCAGCAACGAAAGGATTGCAGAATTTGTCAGGCAATGTTCTTTAACTCAAGACTTATGTGAGAAGTACATACAATTGAGAGAATTGCTGCTAGCCGATAGTGATTAAAGAGATACATACACAATAGAGGGAAAAATAACAGTACTGTACAAACATTTTTACAACAACCTTTATAATACTTAAAATAAGCACATAAATTTATTTATTACTGTATTAATAAGCAAATAAATTTATTACAAGTACTTTCGACCACAGGGCATCAACAGGTACAGTACCTGATGATGACCTATGGTCATAAGTACTTGTAATACATATTTTATTTTGAGGCGGACTACTTACTTTCCTTGGTTGTTTTATTATTAATATATATACTGTACTACTCTGCCTATGCAGCAACCTTATATCTTTGTTTTTACATACTACAGTACCTAAATTGGCCTAGTGTTATCGGCCTATGATCGAGGCCAAACATCATTGGATTCGTTATTGACACGAAAGTTAATGCTCTAACAGTTCCTAGCTTTATTCAGTTTCTTATTCTTGAATATTTAACAATGATTTCTAAAAATTTAACTTGCACTGAAATGTAGGCTACAAGTAAAGCAAGAATTACGAACTTTACAACATACACATTAATGAGAACAGGCCATTATTACTGTGTATAAATATAGGAAATTTTGCGCCCTCAACGGTTTATTATCATTCTATACACAATACGTTTGTAGATGTTTGTTCGCCATTTCCCTCTATTATGTATACAGCCTACACTTTCATTAAGTAATGTTTGTCTCTTATAATCTTATAATCACATGTATTGTAACGCAAATGTTTCAAACTCTTAGGGCTGAGATAAGATGATTTTGAATCTATGGCACCTTCGATGCTTGAAAATATCACTTTCACACTTTAAAAAAATGTTGTACTTAATTTTGACACCAAAAGAACCAAATTCAGACTTTAAAATATGATTGTCTAAATTTCTCACCTTGGCATATGTATGTAAATAGTGTACTGTACTGGTTGAGAGCAATTATGATATTTGTGCCAAAAAATGTGCGCCTGAAATGTTCCATTATTATTATTATGCTAGATGGTACAGTATATAGTTATGTAGACTTTTTAAATTGTTTTTAAGCCGCGATAAATTTACAACTGTACAGTGTGTACTTGCATTTTGTATTGTAAATGTTACATACTGTATATTACTGATAACCTTGGTTAATACTCTGCGCATGGTTTCAGAGGAGATATGTCAAATTGCAGGAGAAAGTTACAGCAGCATTAATATATAGATTGTAGATCAGCCATTCATCGTGTAAATAAAAATATTTAATACAAAATCTAATAGAACATTTCATAAACATTTTCATTGTATTTTCTCGTTTCTATATATAAATCTCTAGTTGTCTGTCAAAAAATACTGTTATTCAAACCCTGTACTGTATGTGGTTATACATTGTACAAAATAATAAGTCGGCATTTCCAAATGCCGACGTTAATTTCGAGGGCTGACACCGATTTGTTGGGAGGTCCTAGATCTAATACCTACTACCAATTTTTTGTCAGGCATTTTTACAACATGCATGACAAAACAGACAGAGACATTTTGAAAACCTAGTTATAGAGAGGCTTTGTACGTCTAAAAAACATGTTTGTCATTAAAGAAACACATATAGCATTAAAATAAGTAAAATTTCCAGTAAATGTTTTAATAAGTAGCTGTCGTAGGTACATTATAGTATTGATAACTATATATTTAAAACTTTTTAAAAATCTGTACACGTATTGATACTTTTTACGCAATTGCATAGCAATGCAACACTTAAGACTTCAACATAAATATAACAAAAACTAATTACATTACTATATGTTGTTCTGTGCATTTGAAAAAAAAAACTACATTTGATATCAGAGGGGAAAGAAAAAGGCTATTACATTCAATATTTTGAACATCTACAGATCTTTCTCTAATATTATATAATGTCACAGTTGGCATTCCTTAATTATACAAATACAGGGAAATAGTAGTTCCTAAAATGAGAATGAAGTCATAAAAACAGAAGATTGATTGTAGAAACACAGATTGAACATTAAAATAAGTAAAAATTCAAATAAAGTATTTAATAAGTAGCTGTCGTACATACATAATAGTTTGGAGAGCCATATTTTATACTTATTTACTTATACTTTTTGAATATAAAATAAATATAAAAATGTACTGATAGTGAATGTTGAAATAGAAAAGAGCTAAGAAATTAGAAAAAAAAAATCATAACATGAAACAAATAAATAATTATTGTGGAATACAAGAAGGAGAACAATGCTACTGTAGGTATAACCCCATTACACCAAACTCGTTGAAAAAGATTGTGGATTTGAAAGAATCGCCCTCCATTCTCGTTTTAATTGTTGTTTTGAGGTGTAACAGACTGGGCTTTGGATTAGATTTCCACAGGTTCTGGCTACAGGATACCTTGCGCTAGGTAAAAATGCCACTTTAATTTTGTTTTGTGGCATTACAGCTGAGCCGGTGGTAAATCTCAGGAATTCACCCACGTCATCCGCATCCAAAGACATTATAAAGTCTTTGAGCCACCATAGGATTGTTTCTTGCTGGGGAGTCATGTCATCATTGTCACCGATTATACATTCAGCAACTTTCCGCCCGCTAGGCATTTGTGAAACGATATAATTTATTGTCTCTAGGGACAACTGTCCCCAAAAAACCTCCAATTGCAATTGAGGAATCCCTCTTCGCATTGCAGCTACAAAGGGTCTCGCTTTGTCTACCATTTGGGACTCCGCAATTGACATAACTTGGTTCAGAATTGCATCTTTTTTAGGCATGGCGTACAGTTCGTACATGCTGAAAAGGCTAATAAGCTTGTCTTCGGCAGACTCTGTTAGCCCAACGAAATCTCGCAAAGCTTGCTTTAATAAAACCCGCTCTGACTGTGTTGTGAAATCTAAGAAATCCCTCAGTAAATAGTCATCTGCAGGAGCCTCCTCAAAGGTTAAAAGCGACAAAAAGGTTTGTGAGCCTTGGAGGTATTGCCTGTACTAGCGCTACTGTGTGAGCGAGAATTCTCCCAAGTATGGTATAGTCTCCACGCAGAGCTCTTTGTTTGTGCAGTGGTAATTTGGGTACAACTGCACTTTCACCAGAAAAGTACACAGCGATGGCCTCAGTCCAAAACATGGAAAACATGTCACGAGTGAGACCACCAAAATCTGCTCCCTCTTCATCGCAGAATTCTACCTCCAGCCTTTTTGAGCAAAGATGACTGTCATTGCGATATGCTGCAAGGACATCCTCCAACACATGATCTCTCCGAACAGTTATTTTTGCAATTTCATCTGTTAAACACTGGTCAAGTGCATGAAAAGCTAAAATGAATTAAGTTTACAAGTAAATTAAATTAATATCATAAAAAAAGTATTCAAGAATAATAAATTGAAAATAGATTGATTGATTTACTTTAAATATGATCAACTTATTTGAAAACTAAAAGAAACAACCTCTGATATTTTCATGACGCATTTTCACAGCATGATTATCTGCATGTTATGACAAATTTCTGTTAAGTCTGTCCAAAAAATTAGCAAAGATATTGAAGATAAAGGTGTGATTAAAATGTTAATATAAATAACTGGTAAACTAACCTGTATCAACATCTGCTTGAATTTTGGATAGCATCTCGACAGTGGGATTGAACGTAACCTAAATAAAAACGAAAAGTTTTAATTGTGCTATACTTTCACAAAAAGTTTCATCACACTTGAGAGATGGTTAGAAGTACAGTATTATTTGGTTTTTGATCAGTTCGCGATTGACATGTGATATTAACATTAGTTGTTACATAATTTAATAATGGACAGTTTGTAAGCAAAAACAGCTTAATAGGAAAATACAAGTTCTTAAGACTTTATTTTAATACAAAATATATGCACTTGTTGCATGCTTTTATTATTACTTTTTTTTACAAAAACAGTAGAAAATAGCAGGCTTCAGCTGTTATTTGGATCCGAATGTTTCTAGATTATATAAATTTTTAAAAACAAACTTTTTGACATGTGCTTTTTTACTTTTCATTTCTTTTCTTGTTTTTTTTTTGTTTGTTTTGAAAGTTGCCTTTTGATCCGTGCCTAGGAATACCATATACATATACCATGTACATATTGAAAAAAAAAAAAAAATTTTAATCATTGGAAGTTTAAGTCTGTCTAAATAATTAAAGTAAATAATGTTGTTTCAACAAATAAAAATAAACTATAGATAAACTGTAGTGTTGAATTCTAGGTGTCAATCAACTTACTGTTGGACTACCAGAAGCAAGAAAAAAACTTGTAGTATTTTCATCGCTAGAATTCTGTAAAGATAAATAAATATATAACATATATTAAACAATTTTATTGTAATATTATTAATTAATATATTATTAATTACTAACAATTTTAAAGTAAATATATCTGATTTTTACTACATAAAAAAACATTAAAAGTTTAGTCTAGAGTGCCTAAAAACACATTTTTTTCCGGGGCCACCTGGGCCCTTGTCTCCAGGGCCTTCGGCCCCTGGAACCCGACCGGGGGCCCTTGGTCCCCAGCCATGGGTTTGTCGCTTCGCTCCCAACCTGACCATTTTCAAATTGATGGCTACGGTCCTGTAAATCCATAACAATTAACCTAGCCCCCCTCCCCCTACCTAGGCTATTGCTTAATAATATAAAGAAACTAAATTATTTTGTTTGAGTGAAAATTGCTAGGCCTACCTTCTGAAGTGTCAAAAGAATCCACCCCTTCATCAGTTGTTGCAGATATAGGCCCCCTACTAGACCTAGTACCACTGTCAGTACTACTGCCGCCAGTGCTAGCTAAATGATGTCCAGCAGACGCGGTGGTAGTACTACTAGGCCTAGGCCTAGAAGACGTGGTGGTAGTAGACCTACTACTACTACTACTACTACTAGTAGTAGTAGGCCTACTCGTAGCACTGGCAGCAGTAGTAGCAGAAGGCCCAGGCCTATGCCTGACGTGGTCTCTGGCACGCGCAATAGCTTGAGAAGCCACATTAGCCACTTGCTCCAAATGCCTCCCAGATTCAGACATAACACTTTTTAAATTTTGGGTAACTTCGTACTTTTTTAAATAAACCACTTAAACACAATTAAACCGTATAGCAAAAGGATTAAAAAGTTTTTCTCTAGCTCTAGGCAGACGATGACGATTCACAGGCGGAAAATTCAACAGCCAATCACCATCACTTAATGGAAATATACCCTGTCTCTT